GGAATGAGAGCGAGAAAAAGAGGAGGAAAGGAGGGAGGAATGGGGTACATACGGCTGCAAACACGCTGCCTACCAGCTGCTGCTGTTCAACTGGAGTCATATCCACATATCCACTGGAGTCATTTTCAAAACTTCCACCAGTCAATAAAGAGTATTGTGTGGAAAATCAATAACATTGATTTACATCGTAATTGCGTGATGAATTCAATTTTAGTAGGTAACCGGAAAATAAATAAATACTACTATTTCATGTCAAATAGTCTTTAGATTAGTCTACTGAATCCTTAAAACTAAAACTTTTAAACTTTGTTTTCGCTAACTGAAATAAAGCTGAAAATTTTAATATTATATGAAAAACTTACACTTGTTGCCTTGGCAGCTAACTAAAATAAGGTTAAGTTAAAGTACTAAATTGACAAACTAAAACCTAAATAAAATCAATTAAAGCTAAATAGAATAAAAAAGCTAATACAAATGACAACAGTTACAGCACATGACGGAATTGCTACAATTTTAAATAAATAAATAAACTGCAAAAAATAAAAAATATAAGCCGTTTCAAAATATTAAAGGGGTCATATGATGCGATTTCAATTTTTCCTTTCTCTTTGAAGTGTTACAAGCTCTTGGTGCATAAAGAAGATCTGTAAAGTTGCAAAGACTAAAGTCTCAAATCCAAAGAGATATTCTTTATAAAAGTTAAGAGTCAACCACGCCTATCTAAAACGTCTCGTTCTAACACGCCCCCACATATCTACGTCACGATGTGGGAAGATTTGCATAACGCCGCCCAAATATTCACGCAAAGAAAGAAGGTGTAACTTCTATTCTCGTATTGTTGCCGCCGCCACCATGCCGTGGAGACACTGTGTTTCGTTGTGAAAGTGAAACTACTTTGTTTGGCCTTCCAAAAGAGGACACGACTAGAAATCAGTGGTTAAGTTGTATTTACAACACTGTTCCAGAACAGTTCAACCCAAATATTCAGATGTGTGCAGCACATTTTATGGAGGACTGTTTCCTGATCCTGGTAGAGTAGACTACAATGCCGGCTTTTCTGACTCACAGACTGTAAGTACGTTTTTTATATTTAAAGAATTTGCCACTGATGATTCAAACGCGAGTTTTGGGCAGTGTAGAGTAGCGCTTGTTGTTTGTCATTTCTCTGATCACAAATGCAGACATGGTTTTATGTTACGCTCCGGCCTGACAGGGCATCCAGTATGGTAAA